GGCGCGTCTTGGGCGCCTCTTTAGGCCTCTTCGGGCCTCCTGGGGGCTTCTCGGGGCACAATATCGAATGTTCGATTCGTGGTCACTTGCTTGGGCCCCTCTTGGAGCCGTTTTGGGGCCCTCTTGGGCCGTTTTGAGCGCTTCTCGGGCCATCTTGGAGCCCTCGTGGGCCGTCTTGAGGCCCTCTTGGAGGCGTCTTGGGCTGCCTTGGGGCGGTCTCGGGAGCTTCTTGAGCCGTCTTGGAGCGTCGGAAAGCCGAAAATGTAAGAAGGCCAAAATCCTTCGAACACCATCGTGCACTCTACGATGTTGGCCTCTTGGACCTCTCTCGGAAAGCCTGTTGGAGAGTTCGTGGGGCCTCTTTGAGTCCTCTTGGGCCGTCTTGGAACCATATTTGGGCGCCTTGGAGCTCTCTTGGCCTCGGCCATGCGAAGCGTATGTTGCGAAGGTGTATGGCGTCGGGGGAGGAGTAATGAGAAGCAGTGATGACAATGATGATGATGATGATGATGATGATGATGATGATGATGATGATGATGGTGATGGTGATCATGATGGTGATGGTGATGGTGGTGGTGATGGTGATGGTAATGGTAATGGTGGTGGTGGTGGTGATGGTGATGGTGATGGTGATGATGACATTGACAATGACAATGACAATTATGATGTGTGTGTGTGTTGGTGATGGTGATGCTGCTGATGACGATGGTGATGAGGATGATGAGGATGATGAGGATGATGATGATGATGATGATGATCATGATAATGATGGTGATGATGATGGCGATGATGATGCTGATGATGATGGTGATGATGCTGCTGATTATGGTGTTGATGGTGATGGTGATGATGATGGTGATGATGATGATGATGACGCTGATGATGCTGCGGATGCTGATGCTGGTGCTGATGACGATGCTGGTGATGGTGACGGTGATGGTGATGATAATGTCGATGGTGATGATGGCGACGACGATGTCGATGATGATGATGAGTATGATGGCGATGATGAGTTTGATGTTGATGGTGAAGCTGATAACGATGATGATGGTGTTGATGAGGGTGGTAGTGATGATTTTGATGATGGCTATGGTCATGGTCTTGGCGATTGTGAAGGTCATGGTGATGACGGAGGTGATGGTGATCATCGTGATGATGACAATGATGATGATGATGACGATGACGATGACGATGACGATGTTGTTGATCATGATGATGTTGGCACTGATGATAATGCTGATGTTGATGTTGCTGATGATGATATCGATCTTGACGCTGATTGAGATGATCATGATGACGATGACGATGAAGAGGAGGAGGAAGAGGATGAGAGGAGGATGGGAAGGGGAATATGCATGGGGAGGAGGAATCTGATGAGGACCCGTCAGGAGGATGACGAGGAGGATTTGTGGAGACCGGGAGGGAGCAGGATGAATGAGGAGATTGATGATGCACGGACATGACGGAGATGAACATGGTAAAGATGAAGATAAGGGATGAGATTGAAGACTAAGCAAAATGATATGTATGGTCTTGGGGGGTTGTCAATGCATATATATATATATACAAGACTGCATTGGCGCTGCGCGCCATGCACCTTGGTCCTTTGGAATTCGCACGCTAGCGGAGTGCGAGCGTGCGTACATGCGCACACACATGCGTCTATGAATGCATAGTACATATGTACATATATATACGGTTGTATGGACATGTACGTGTATATGCACATGGTCAGTGTAACTATGTGTGCGCAGACACATGCGTATATCAGGCGGTAGTGGCCTGACCAGTTGCTCATATCATCGCGCCACTGAAAGGCGCGAGGGTCTCAGGCAAACGTGGTCAGACTACCATGGGACAATGCGTCGCCAAGGTCAGTGTTGCGAGGACGTCCCGGGTGAGAATGGCCTGAACACCTCCGCTCAGGGGAGGGCAGATCCGAAGTCAGCCGCGCGAGGAAGTTTCAAGCGAGGAGCGGTCTAAACACCTCTGCTCAGGGCATCCTTGAACTTAGAGTTGCGAGAAGTCGCACGCGAAAGTGGCCGAACCACCATGGTGCAAGGCACCTCCGAAGTGAGACTTGCGAGAGTGTCTCAGGCGACAGTGGCTGGAACACCTCAACTGAGAGTGTCTCGGGCCCCAGAGCTGCGATGATGTCTCAAGCGAAAACGGCGGGGCCGATGCGAAGCAAGGCGCTTTTGAAGTCGGAGTTGCGAGCATATCTCTGGCGAAGCGGATTAGACTACTTTCCGTTATCTCCTCTTCCTCCTTCCCTTTTTACTGTCCTCCTCTTCCTCCTCCCCCTCCTCCTCCTCCTCTTGTTCCTCCTCCTCTTCCTCTCCCCCCTCTCCGCTTCTTTTTTTGTACATTCTCCCCATCCCTGGCGGCGCGGCGCGGTGCCCCTCGGCCTCCTCTGCGAGTCAAGCGGCAAAGGGCGAGAGAACCCCCCCCCCCCCCCGAATTAGGAACGGCTTTTCCCAAGCCGCCAAGGGGGCCCGAAGGTAGTGCAAGAGGCGGCGCAGGTTTTGAAATCCCCCAGGGGCCCCTCGGATTCGGCCAGCCCTCTCCAGCAAGGTAGGCAAGGGCACCGCGTCCAGGTGCTCAATCCCCCGTATCCCCCTCCCCTCGTCTTCGTTCCCTCCTCCATGTCCCCCTCCTCCTCGTCCTCGCCCCCCTTTTCCCCCTCATCCTCCTCCTCCCTCCCCCCTCCTTCTCCTCCCTTGATGCCCCCGCGTGGTTTTCGGGCCATGACTCGGGCCTACGGGGGCCGTTCGCGACGTTTCCGGCGCCCCCAAAACGCTTCCGGCGAGCCGCAAATACTGCAGGAACCCCCCGGGCCGGAAAACCTCCCAGAACAAACAATCCGAAAACCTTGATCCTCCATTCTCGGTTCCTGTCTTTCGGAGGGGGAGGGAGGAGGGGTGAAGGACGAGGGGAGAGACAAGGCGACGACGACGACGACGACGGAGGAGGAGGAGGAGGAGGAGGAGGAGGAGGTAGAGGAGGAAGAGAATGAGGAAGAGCTCTTGGGCCCTTCGGTGGTTTGAACGAAAAATGGCCTCGCTGCGCCATTTGATACGACGACGACGATGAAGAAGGCGACGACAAAGAGAAGGGATAATGAGAGGGGGAGACCGCTGTGTTGGGATCTCGTGGTGCGCCTCTCGGGGCCCTCTGGGAGGCAGCTTTGAAGCCTCTGGGGGGTGTTTTGGGGTTCTTGGGATCTTTTTGGGGCCTCTTGGGGGCCTCTTGGGGGCTCCTTGGGGCCTTTTGGGGGCCTCTTGGGGCCTCATGGGGATCTCGCCGGGCCACTTGGGGCCCTCTCGCGGCGGAAAATTTAGTTTTTGAATTTTTGGGCGCCCTCTTGGGTCTTTCTTGGGGCCGTTTTGGTGCTCTCTTGGGCCGTCTTGGGCGCCTCTTGGGCGGTTTCGGAGCCCTCCTGGACCGTGTTGGGGCCTTTTTGGGGGCCTCTTGGGCAGTACTGGGGCGATCTAGGGAGCCTCTTGGGCCATTGTGGAGCGTCGGGAAGCGGGAAAAGCGAGAAGGCCAAAAACATCGAAAACACACAGGAAAATCAACAATTGTAGCCTCTCGGGGCTCTCTTGGGAGGCCTCTTGGGGGTCTCTGGGGGCGTCTTGGACGCGTCTTGGGCAGTCTTGGGCCCAGATCGGGCGTCTTGGCCGATCTTCGGGTGTCTCGGGGCCCTCTTTGGCCGTCGTGGTTTTTTTTTTTTCGCGTCGCACTCGCAGGACAGACACGGAGCATTCTGCAGGAGCGCCCCAAAGGTTCGGGGAGGCCGAAATTCGTTTTTGGAGGGGGGGGCACCGTGTGCCGCTTTTGCGGGGTCCCCACCCTTGTATATATATATATATATATATATATATATATATATATATATATATGTACACACACATACATAACGGGGGACCGGGTCTGGGGGCCGGGAGCCGGGACCCCGACCACAAATGTGTGGCCCGGGGCCCGGGCCCGCCTCTGGGAGGCTTAAAATCGCCCCGGGGAGCCCTCAGACAGCAATCCTGGCGGCCCCAGGCGGTCTCGAGACACCCCCAAGACGACGTCCAGGGGTCTCCGTCGACGCACGATGCGTTTAGATTTCCCCGGAGGCCCCCAAGACGCCACTAGAGGCATTTTAAGATGCCGCCGAAGAGCGCCCCGAGAGGGGCAAAATCGTTGATTGGCACTGTTCTTTTCGATGTTTTTTTGCATTCTCGCTGTTTCGTGTTTCCGGCGCTAAAGCACCGCCCAAGAGGCTCCCCAAACCGCTCCAAGACGGCCCAAGAGGCCCCCAAGAGGGCCCCAAGACGGCCCGAGAGAGCCCCGAGACGGCCCCAGAGCCGCCCAAGACGGCGCAAGAGGGTCCCAAGAAGGCCCCAAGAGGGGCCCAAGAGAGGGAACGCGAACTGAAAACTCAAGCTCTCCGCCCCAAGATGTCCACAAGAGGCCCCAAGATGCCCCCAGGAAGCCCCCAAGAGGCCCCAAGAGGCCCCAAAGAGGCCCCAAGAAGCCCCAAGACGGCACCCAAAAGGCTTCAAAACTCTTTCTAAGAGGCCCCCGAACACATGCCAAGAAGGTCTCATGACGATTTGAAGAAGCAGTCCAGGATGCTCCGAGGAGGCCCCAAGAAGCCAGCTAGAACTTGAGCGCGCGCGAAGCGCGCGATGGTTCTAGTATATATATATATATATGTATGTGTGTACGTGTATATATATACATACATACATATATATATATATATATATATATATATATATATATAGATCCCCATCCTCACATCACTATCGACTGATCGCTCTTTCCAAAGGCGCGTTACACACGGTAATGCAATGCGTGTGTCGTTCAAAGGTCCATGTACAAGAAGGTTGGAGTACCAGCAGAATGCGCGATGGTATTCATGGTGTGTAAGAATGCGCCCAGCAATTGTAGACGAAATGACATCTTTGGTATTGTCTTGTACTGCCAACATCCCCCGCCCGCCCAAGGAACAGAAAATCCTGGTTGGGGCGCCTGCAGATGAGGTGGTCCGAATCTGCCCAGAGGACTGTTGGCGCTATGGTGGGTTGCATCTCTCCTCCTGCTGATTGCATCACTATCTTTCGCTGTTGGGGAATAGTTTCGAGTGTTGCGTGGGCGGCGAGAGCAAGGAGCAGGGGATTAGTTATGATGCCATGGTGCACCGATGTCCAGGGCGCACATGTGTTGTGATCGTGATGCCCATGCCGATCAAAGTGGCCAGTCTTCGCGTGTGTCTCGACCGCGCTCCGAAAGAGCCGATTCTCATGCAGGTGGAGGGCGCTGTCTACCCTCCCTCCTTCCCTTCCCGGTCATGGGGTACAGTCGAGTTGTATTACTAGGTCGACCGTGAGAAATCAGGGGTGCCCTTGTGTCCTTCGCGCCCCATGGCCCATGTCCCTCGTGCATTTCTGGGCAGCGTGGCCCTCGGAAGGGCCCTGTTGTGTCCTCTCGCGTGCCCTCTCCACTCGACCTCGACTGCAGGAGGAGGACGACGACGACGACGAGCAGAGCACGAAGCCCTACGCCTCCCGAGCCGAGCCCCAGCCCGTGCTGGGAGGGGCTCTCGGCCCGCGGGCGCGCCGAGCGAGCGGGCCCGCGCTCTCTCTTCCGCGGAGGCCAGAGGCCCGGACCTCTGCGGGGCCCGCGCGGGGGCGAGGCGCGCGCGCGACTCGGTGCGGCCTGACGTCTGCGAGGCGCTGCTGCGCATCCCGGCGCTGCTGCGACCATGGGAGCGGCGGTCGGCGCTTCAGATCGGGGGCGGAAAAGAGGGGGGGGATGACTATAGGTGGGGGTGGATATCACGGCGGGGGACACGATACTTCCCCGGATTTCAGGGCGCCTCTTCTTGTTTCATTATGTCCCTGGCCCCCCCGCTGGGCCGCGCACATGCCGCCGGTCATGATTTGCACCCCCCCTATTGGACACCCCCCTCTTGGCCGCTCCCGATGAGAGACGGGGGTCAGTGCAGACGGGGGTCAGCAAGGGCACTGGATCCTGCAGGATCCTGCGAAGACCCCCTCTGGCTGACCCGGGTCAGCGAGCCTCGCTCGTGGCCGCGAGGCGGCCGCGCCTATTGGCTGACCCGGGTTTGCGAAGACCTGCGTTGCGTTTTTTTTTTTTTCCTGCGTTGCAGTTTTTTGGTGCCCTGCTGACCCAGTTCTGGATTCACCCGGGTCAGAAGATCCCCGAAGCGGCAGGGGTGTGCTGGCCAACCACCTCGATTTGGTGATCGAGACTGGCTCGAGTCTGGACGCGAAGTTCTTGCGATGCCCCCTCTGAGCGGAGGAACAGATACTGGTGCCGCTACTCGGCCTGGGAAGCGAGCCTTTCCCAGCACGAGGACACCAGGCCGGAAGCCTCTCGCAATCTGCCGGCGTACAGGAAGCGGTGCCCGGGCCCCAGGAACCACCATGAAACAGCACTCGGGACGAGAAGCCGGTCCCAGGGAAGAGGTTGGGGGCAGCAAGGGCCGGCAGTTTGAAAAGATCGAATTGCCCAGGGTTTGAGAGAAGAGCACTCAAAAGTGGCAGTTCAGATCGCCCTCGAATTCTAGGCCTCCTACATGGGGTCCGAGTAGATGGGGTCGGAGGGTCGCGCCGCACCGCCGATGCATCGCCGATCCGGCTCGACGTGGAGCCCGATTTGCTTCACGTCGACGTCGCCGATGCATCGCCCACGTCGACGACGCATCGCCAGCGCGTCGCCGATGCACCGCCGATGCGTCGTCGATGCATCGGCGCTGCGGCGCGATCCCCCGACCCCCATCTCTTCCGACCCCCCCTGAGAGGCCTCTAATTATGAATGGCGGATGATCTCCGCCAGCGCGGGAGCCCCTCCCCAGCATCCCGGGGGCGGCGATGCGGTCCGGGCACCGAAGAGTGGGGAGCAGCTCGGCTCTGGAAGGGGCTCGCGGTTCTCCGCGGGGCCTGCCACGGATGTTCGTCTAGTGTGGAGTCGGGCCTGTCCCTCCACAGGAGGAATACTCAAAAATAGTAAAATGAAAAGTGTCTTGGGACGATGGTTGTTTTACGATGTTTGACTATTTTGGGGTATTGTTTGAGCATGTTTAAGTTTGAGTTCGAAATCCGCCTGTAGAGGACACGCCCGACCTAATTCTAGTGTCCCCTGGTTCACTGGGGCGCTTGCTGGGGCCGAAGCGGGGCTTCGCTCCCTGTGTTGGCGTGCCTCGTGTCAGCACCTTGACGATGGCGCGCTGCTCGCGCCAGGAAGGTGCGTAGGGAGAGGGCTTGGCGCCTGTCGGAAGTTTGCCTCGTGCGCGGTCGTCCGATGTTCTTGTCCTCGCGCGCTGCCTCAGGGACCACGCCAAGGGGGGGGAGGGGCTGGTCCAGGGAGGAGAAGATTCGAGAGCAGTCGCCTTAGATTTAAGTCGGGCCTGTCCCTCCAAGAGGAATAGTTGTTCAAATTCAAACGTAGTCTAAGAATAGTCAGGGGACGATGTTTGGACTATTTGACTCCTTTCGAACATGTTTGGTGTATTTTAAAAATTTGTCATCCAAAATCCGCCTGTAGGAAGACAATCCCGACCTAATTAACCTTACATGTTCGTTTGGGGGACCGTCCTGGGGCCCATCTAAAAGACCTCTTCGGCTATGGTTCGACTCAAGGCGACGGACGCTCGACGCCGCATCGACTCATGATCTTCAGCGAGTGGCGCCGGGAAAGTCGCAGATTCCCATCGCTCTGGACGAGGCGGTCCAGTCATTGGCTCGCTGAGGGCGAGGCCGTCATCCGGGTGACCTCGGCACCGCTGAAAGAAAGGCATCAAGGTCCCCTGAACGAGCATCCATCGATCCTCGGAGGAGGGCCCGTCGAGACAACGGCTGTTCTCCCTGGCGTCGCCTTCGACTTGCCAAGGTCCAAGTCTGGAGCCAGCGGGGGCTCCGAGGTGGCCCAGCACCTGTCCTGGCGAGCGGGACAGGGCGGGCGAGGCTCGAGGTGCCGGGTTCGAGAAGGTGGTCTGCCTTTTTCGGCGGGCCCCAGGATTGCGATAAAAACCGATCCGAGGGGAGAAACGACACCACGTGGATCCTGGGAGTGGTCCGGGAACCGATTTGGAAGGGCTTTGCTCTCGTCCCCCCCCCCTCTTGACCGACTCTTTCGGATGCAACTCCTGGGAGGTCAAATTCTGTTTTTGCCCTGGTCCGAAATCAGGTTCAATCCAGCTTAATCCCGTTTAATCCGGCTTAATCCCGCTTAATCCCGTTTAATCCGGCTTAATCCCGCTTAGTCCGACGCCCATTTTGGCGTAACAGCCCCGCAATGGGGCTTAATCCTTTTTTAATTTTTCCGACGAAAACCTCCCAGTAGTTGCCTCCTAAGACTCTCTAGGGGCCCAGCCAGCTCTGACCCCCCTGGGCCGCCTCCAAGCCCCGAGCCCCCCCACGAGAGGGCGGTGGCCCGCTCGCCAAGGGGGGGCGCACCACGAGAAGGCCGCCGTGCGTGAAAGCATGAGGCTCCCAACGTCGTGGCTGTCTCGCCCCGCGGGCCCTCCTCACCACCCACCAAATCACCCCAACCCGACCCGAAGGCCTCAGTTTGCCCTTCATTTCCAGTGAGGGGGGTTCGGGGAACATTGAAAAAACACATGGAACCCGTACCCCCCCCCCACACCCGAAGTTCGGGTCAAATTCGGGTCTTCGGGTTGGGTTGGGGTGGTCTGGTAGGTAGTCACCTCCGAGTTCTCGACCCCTTCCACGAGCGGGGGGCGGCAGTTCATCCGGGGTTGTTTTCTGAATGGTCACTGGGCATCGAGGCGACCCCCCGACTCTCCGGGGGGGCTGCGTCGACCCCCCAAGTCGCCCACTGGTCGCCAGTAGGGGCTTGATAGCCCACCCCGCTCAGGACCATGCGGATTCGCTATCGGGGGCCTGTCGCTGATCTATCGGCGATGTATCGCCGGTTCAGGCTCGATGCTTCCTCCCCCCTGAGCCAGTCCCCCACTGACGTTCCCGATCAACAGCAATCTCACGGAGGCCTCCTCCTCCTCCTCATCCTCATCCTCCTCCTCCCTGACTCCGCGCCAGAGGACGGGCGGCAGCTTGGTGCCGGCGGCGTTCTCCGCTTGGGGGGCGCGCACCTGGGGGGCTACGGCGAGTCCGACATCGCGTACGCCTACAGGCAGTCGCCGAGCACCAACAAAAATACCCCTCCCCCCCCCTTCCGCCCAATGCCGAAACGCCGAGTAAAATCAAACGCTCACATACATGAGCTCTGAGGCGGACGAGTTGAGACGACGACAGTTGCACTCTGGGGGTGGGGGCCCCCGTCGCCACGGCTGGACCAAGTTCGGAAGATTGGTGCGTTTGGACCCCGGGAGGGGTCGAGGAACCACTCTTGAGCTGCCGCTGTCCCGACTCGCCCGGCTCCGATGGGCACGAGTTGTCGGAGGTCCGCGCGGAGTTCCTCACGGCCCGGGCGGCGCCTCCCGTGCCGCCACCGGCGGGGAGAGGCGTGGGCACGGGAGTCCGGCGACGACCCGACGAGTCCGCGCGGACCTCCCGAGGCTCTGCGGCTGGCAGCCGCAGTACTTACCACCGGCCTGGAACAGATCCCTATCCCTGTGCTGGGCAGCTCCTCGTCACGATGCCAATCTGAGGGATTCCCTTTTCTTTTGAGGGCGAATCCCCAAGATTGGCATCGCCTTTGGGCGTGTCAATCTTAGGGATAGGGATACGTTCGAGGCTGGTAAATTACTGCCTGCGCGCTTGCGCTGTTTGTCCGTTACTCTGCAGCCGGCAGCGCGCAGGAGGGGGCCACGGGCGAACACCCTACCCCTGCCCCTCACGATTTCTGGGGGGAGGGCGGGGTGCACTTCGCTCGGGAGCTCCCGGTCGAAGTGAACCCCACCCTCCCCCTCAGAAATCGTGGGGGGAAGGGGCAGGGTTCGCCTGTGGCACCCTATAAGGGGCAGGGGACCCCGCTGTTCCTGGGTCTCGGCCCTCGGGATCGGTCCTCCCTCCCAGAGGCCCCCCCCCAAAGGGGTGTCTCAGAAGGCAGGAGGGCCGCCACTGCGCAGAGGCGCTGAGGAGTCTCCTCGGACGGCCTCTCTTCAGGAGGGAAAAAACACACACAGACATAATTCATCGTCGATTCCCAGGAAAATATGGGAAAATATGGGAAGTGGGGGGGAAGACAAAAACTCAGAACATCTGGTAAAATATGGGGAATCGTTTTATTTGTGCGTATTTGTGTGTGTGTGTCCCGGGGCCCCTTCGTCTCTGAGGCTTCTCTGCAGAACCGGAGAAACATTGCATGAACACACGCTGTCGGAGCTCCGCGCGGGGTTCCTGCATCGGCGCTGGGCCCCCGCTGGCGCGCTCCGCGCGCCAGGTTTGGGGGGCTCAGCGCAGATCCGGGAACTCCGCGCGGACATCCGAGAGTGAGTGTTTGTGCTGCGGGCTGTTCCTCCAGAGAAGGCGGGGCGTCCTCATAGAATTACGTCGGGCCTATTCCTCTACAGGAGGAATATCAAAAAATATTCCACGAATAGTGTGGGACTGATTGTTCGACCATTTGTTTTGCTATGTTTGAACATTTTTTGACTAGGGGGGACATGCCCGACCGAATGTTTGTGTTGCGAGCTGTTCCTCCAGAGGAGGCGGGGCGTCCTCGTAGAGAAGGCCGACCCCCCCTCACCACGTCTCCGCTTCCCCGCACCCCCCGCCGAGAGGCAGCTCTCCAGGGCCCTGCACCCGGACAAGAACCCGGACCTGCCGAAGGTGTTGGGTCCATTCGCCCTCGACCCAAGTTTTTTGCGCCGCCCCTCCCCCTTAGCCCCGCTCCCTCCTTCCCCCCCCCTCCTCCTCCTCCTTCGCTTCTTCCTCGTTCCTCCTCGCTCCTCGTCATCATCCTGCTCCTCCTCACCTCCTCTCCTCCTCAAACCTCATCTTCTATGTTTGTGTATCTATATGTATATGTATATATAACCCGAGTTATATATATATATGTATGTCTGTCTGTCTGTCTGTCTGTCTGTCTGTCTGTCTGTCTGTCTGTCTGTCTGTCTGTGTGTATGTATGTATGTATGTATGTATGTATGTATGTATGTATGTGTATATATATAGATATATGTATGGTTGCATTGGCTCTTCGCGCCATGCACCTTGTTCCTTGAAGCTGTGGAGAGGTTGGCCTGCCGCGCCAGCCTTTGGTCCGTTTGAGGCGTGCTTGCGGGCTCGCTCATGGAGATGCGGAGGACGGGGAGATGGTGGCAGTCAATTTGGGACGGGCAGAAAGTGAGGTGGAGGCCCCAGGCGCACAGAATTGCACAAGTGAGTGAGAAAGTTGCGGAAAACATATGGAAACGGTTGCGAACCCGAGATTATGGGAAAAATGTTGTTTCTCATAGCGAGATTACATTCGGAGGGGCGCGGAACGGTGGACTGACGCGAGTTCGGGGGTGGGGGGTTTGACGGGCAAGTTATTGATCGGTTTGTCTCTTAAGCACCGCTGGGAGGCCCTCTTGAGAACCGTTGGGCCACTTTGGAGCGCTCCAGCGCTTCGAATGAGTTCGCGGGAGTGCCAAGTAAGCGAGCGAGAATTCAGGGATCTAAACAACAGGGCCCTGTGTAAGTGGTGTGAGGGCCTCGTGGACCACTTCGAAGCCATCTCGAAGCCACTTCGGACCGTACTCGGGGCGTCTTGGGACTGCCGTTCGCTCGGTTGCACGCTTGGGTGAACGTTGAGAAGGCGCCCTGGAGAGCTGGAATTCCTGGGCGACCCTGTTGAGGAGCGTGCAGACGGCGTCCCTGGGCCGTCATGCAGCCGCTCATGAGCAGTTCGGGATTCGTCTGAAGCCACCTGGGTCCTACTTAGAGCGTGAGAATGCTGAGTGTGCTCGTGTTGGGGGCTCCCCTGGCCGTTAGGGCGCCACCTTTGTGCAGTTTAGGGCATTCGACGAGGGCCAAGGCCAGCATGATGCCATGATGTCGTATAAGGACACAGCAGAAAACGGGAGGTAAACACTCGTGAAAATTAGGTTTTCAAGTGTTTCTAAAGCCTCTCGAGCAAGTGCCTTCGAGCATCCAGCAAGGGCCTTAGCCGCATGATGCCATCTTGGACCGTTTGTAGTGTATGTAAGGCCTTGCGCCAGCCGTCGTGAACTCAGTTTTGGGCGGTCAGCATCCTCTTGTGGGCAGTTCGAGGGCCCGCTTAGGCGCTCGTGGGGCTCATTTGGGCTGTCGACGAGCGGTTGTCAGTGCGTTCCCAGCGTTCTTGGACGCGTGGTAGGCTGAATTAGAAAGTATGCGAAAATCATTGAGAAAACAATGAAAAATCAATGTGTTGGGGGTCCGAACGCCTCGTGGAAGGTGACATTCGGGCCGGCTTCGAGCATCCAGCAAAAGCCTAGGCCGCATGGCACCATCTTCGGCCGATTGTGGCGTGGAGAAGGCCTTGCGCCAGCCGTCCTGGAGTCACTTTTGGGCGATCCTGGGGCCTCTTGTGGGCAGGTCGGGGACCGTCTTGGGCGCTCATGGGGCTTGAGGGGCCGTACTGGAGCAAACGACAGTGTGTTTCCAGCGTTCTCGGACGCGTGCAAGCCAGAATCAGGGAGTATTTGAACATCATACGGAAACCAATGCAAAAAAACAATGTTTTTGGGGTTCGAACGCCTCTTGGGGGTGACCTTCAGGCCGTCTTTGGGCACCTGAAGGGGGCCAAGGCTAGCTGGATGCCATCCTGGACTTTCTTAAAGGTCTCTTGGGCGTTCCGCCGAGCGATTTGGGATTGCCAACCCCCTGCGTGCACGCGTTGGCAGGGGTTTCCGTCCCCCCCCGTGCCACGGATCCGGGGGGACTCGTTTCCGGGGGTGGGGGTTCCCACTCCCCCGGATTATAGAAATATAGAGAATGGAATATACATACATATACATATAACGGCGCACCGGGTCCGGGGGCCCGGGGCCGGGACCTCGACCACAAATGTGGGCCCCGGGGGGCCCGGAGGCTCGTCGGACCGCCGGACGCCGTCCAAGATCGTTCGCAGGCGGCTTCGGAACGCGCTCCGATGGCTCCAGATGCCTTCCAAGACGCCTGTCATGACACCAAGAAGGTCCCAGAAGCCTCCAAGACGCTCCGAGAGGCAGCCCAAGAGAGGCCCAAGAAGCAAAAATCGTGCCATTCCTACGGGAAAACGTATATTTTTCGCATGTTCGCCTCTTGGGCTTTCACCGCGTCCAAGACGGCCCAAGAGGCGCCCAAGACGGTCTACGAGGCCTCCGGGAGCGCTCCAAGGCTGCGCACGAGTGGCCCAGGACGGCCCCAAGACGGCCGAAGAGAGCCCCAAGACGAGTTCGAGAGGGGTCCCAGACGGAGAAAGCCAACCTCGAATTCCGAGCTTCCGGCCCAACATATCCCAGGAGGCGCCAAAACGCCGCCCAGAGGCGCCAAAAGGCTCCCAAAAGCACCCCAAGACGTTCCGAGAGGCACCCCAAGAGAGGTCCAAGAAACAAAAATCGTGCCTTCCCTATGGGAAAACGTATATTTTTCGCATGTTCGCATCTTGGGCTTTCACCGCGTCCAAGACGGCCCAAGAGGCCTCCAAGACGGCCTAGGAGGCCTCCGGGAGCGCTCCAAGGCTGCGCACGAGTGGCTCAGGACGGCCCCAAGACGGCCCAAGAGAACCCCAAGACGACTTCGAGAGGGGTCCCAGAAGGAGAAAGCCACTCTCGAATTCCGAGCTTCCGGCCCAACATATCCCAGGAGGCGCCAAAACGCCGCCCAGAGGCGCCAAAAGGCTTCCAAAATCAGCCCAAGACGTTCCGAGAGGCACCCCAAGAGAGGTCCAAGAAACAAAAATCGTGCCATTCCCATGGGAAAACGTATATTTTTCGCATGTTCGCATCTTGGGCTTTCACCGCGTCCAAGACGGCCCAAGAGGCCTCCAAGACCGCCCCAAGACGGCCCAAGAAGCTTCCAAGAGGGCCCCAGGACAGCCCAAGAGGGCCCCAAGACGGCCCAAGAGGCGCCCAAGATGGCCCAAGAGGGCCCCAAGACGGGCCCAAGAGGGGGCCCAGAGGGGGACCACGAACCGCAAGCTCGAGCCTTCCGCCCCAAGAGGCCGCCAGGAGGCCCCAAGGAGGCCCCTCAAGAGGCCCCAGGAGACCCCCAAGAGGCCCAAAGGAGGCCCCGAGAAGCCCCAAATCGGCCCCCAAAATGCTTCGAACCTGCTTCCAGGAGGCCCCCGACAGGTTCAGAGGCTCCCGAGAAGCTACGTCAAACTCCCAGCGAGCGGCCGGACGAGGCCCCCCACAAAATCACAAGAGGGTTCCAGTATTTGTATCCTTCAGCGCTCTCTGGCCTTCTTCCCCCTGCCCCCTTCCCTGCGACTTTCGTTGACTCAAGCTCGCCTCCTAGCTAGAACCTAAGCGCGCGCGAAGCGCGCGCGTGGTTCTAGCATTTATATATACACAGACACACCCATATATATATATATATATATATATATATGTGTGTGTCTATCTCTCTCACTCGCTCTCTTTCTCTCTCGCTCTGTATCTCTCTCTCTCTCTCTTTGTCTCTCTCTGTCTCTCTCCCTCTTTCCTTTCTTTTGTTATCTCTCTCTCTCTCTCGCTCTCTCTCTCTCTCTCTCCCTCTCTCTCACTCTCTCTCTCTCTCTCTATCTCTCGCTTTCATCTAACATGTTTGTTGGGATGTCGCGGGGGGGCCTCTTGGGAGCCGCTTGAAACACCAAAGGAGCGCAATGAGTTTGGCCTCTAAAGGGCCCTCTTGGGACGGCTCTTGGAAGCCTCTTGGGACGCCTCGGGCGCGTTTCGGGCCGACTGGAGATCATCTCAGGGCGTCTTGGACCGATCGTGCGGCGAGTCGGGGCCCCGTTGGACCGTCTTGGGCCCTCTTGGGGCCGGCTGCGCTGCCCGGGGGCGCACGCGACGCCTCCCGGGCATCTCCGGAAAATGTTCGGGAGTCCTTTGTGAGATCGGTGTCCTGGGCCTTTGACACCTTACAACGCTTTCTATTCCCAGAGCTGCAGGTGTCCAGGAGCACTCCACGACGTGCTGAGGTGTACGGTGGTGGATAGCTGCACATCAGGAGGGGAAAAAACACACAGACACAATTAATTGCCGACTCCCATGAAAATATGAGAAAATGTGGGAAGTGGCGGGGAAGACGAAAGTCCAGAAAATGTTGGAAATTAATTATGGGAATCCTGTTACTTCTGTGTATTTATTTGTGTGTCCTTGGGCCCACTGAGCACAAATAACAACGTTAGCCAGCGGGGACCGCCAACCGAGTATTTTGCAGATTGGGTGTCGCAATATACGTGGTGCAGGCTATGTGGTGAAGAGTATGTGGTGCAATCTGTGATCCCTGTTCCTATTTGTTGGCAGGGCCTGTGGACCCCACAGCCCCCCCACGGACAACTTTCGACCACCCCGAGCACCCAAAATGGCCCACAGAGGTCCAAGACGGTTCCAAGACGGCCCCAGAGCGATGCAGGACGGCCCCAAATGGTTCCACGACAGTTCAAAAGATTATCAAAACGCCCAACAGGGCCCCCAAGTAGCTCCAAGACGCCCCCCTAAGACGCCCGGAAGAGCCCCAAGAGATCGCCAAGCAAGCCGAACTTGCTTCATTCCTAATGTAAACCGTACATGTGTTGCCATATTCGCCCTTTTTTTCCAAGGCTCCAGAACGGATCCAGAGGCCCCCACAAAGCCCCAAGAGGGCCCCAAGACAGCCCAAGAAAGCCCCTCGACGGC